CTTTGACAGTGACTGGCTAAATGTTCTCTCTTCATCCTCTGACATGGGAGTTGGCTCAGTGCTCGTCTGCCTGGCTGTGTGTTTCCTGGACAGGACTTTTACAGTTGCTTTTTGTATCTCTGCTTCTGTCTCCTTGAACCCCAGTCGGCCTAAGCAGATGCCGCTCACACTGAGCCTGGTTCTTCTGGAGGTTTCTTCCTGTTTAAAGGGAGTTTTTCCTCTCCACTGTCGCTACATTCATGTTTAGTGTAAGGGACTGCATCCGAATGAGTTGATGCAATCAGCTAGATAGAAAACTTTGAATCAATTTGACTGTATGATCTGTTGAACTGCCTTGAGATATGTGTTGTGAATTGGCCCCATATAAATAAACGGAATTGAAGTGTTGAGCAGAGTGAAAATAAAAGACAAAAATACAGATTCAAACATAAAACAAATAAAACTATAAAATCTATAGATGAACTCTTAGATGTGTTTACTGTGTTCCCTACGTGGCTCATGGCAGTAATGGATTCCTTCAATGTTTGTTAGGTTCACAGCTAAACATTGCATCTACAGATTCTCCCACCTGAGCTGTGAATCCCTGTTGTGGATTAACCCTCTCCTAACCTAATCTGTCGTTTTACATGGATAGCCAGATCATTTTTGGAGAAATGGCTAAAGAGCACGAAGGCTATTTTTTAAATGAAAACCTTTAACTTTAAAATTTATATCTGCTGTGTTGGTTTTTCCTGATGCAGCTATTTTCTGCACTATAATGCCTTGAAGGTTATGTTTGTGACCAAAAATGTGATTAATTTAATGCAGTAGGTATACATTTGCAAAACATAGTCTCCTGTTGGGCTTGTAGTAGTTTGTCTGAAATAGAAGATCAATACTTGACCTCTTTATAAAAACACAATATTTATCAAAGTTTGGGTTCTCCGTGTACATGAACTTTGAAGGCCTCCTTAATCTATTGGGTCCTATTTGTTGATGGACACTACATGAGCGGCTTTAGCTATTCTCTAACTGAGGTTTATGTTGAATAAGAAAACAAGAATTTCAGCCTCTCAAAGATTTGAGGATTTAAGAAGTCTTTATCGTCACTGTGGGGAAATTTGGGAACAACAATCACTCAATAAATGAATAACACTGAAAATGTGCATCACTTATTCCAAAGAGCAGTGGCAGCAGGGATAAATTAATGTTTCAGTCTTTTTGAACCTTAAATATACTCCAAACAAAATATAAAAAAATAAAAAATGGACATCCGTATGGTACTGACACACAGAAAGCCTAGCCCTTTCACTAATCATTTACTTTAGTTTTTTTTTTGGGTGCTTTGTTTTTATCAACATCTTTTCTGAAATATTTGATAAAAGTACAGATACCGTTCTAAACATTGTTTTTTCTTTATATATATATTATAGCAATGTTTGTTCGTTTCTCCGCAAAACATTAATGCCGTTTGCTGCAGCATGAAAGTTTGAAAACGATGGCTGAAATTTTTTTTGATACCCAATAGCATGTATTGTATTTGCACCCATTATAGTTGTAAAGTTAGTTTGCACATGTCCTTACAATACTACAAGTAATTTCCTGCTTATTCCTCTTTATACCTCTGTGTGCCTTTGGGGTAATTTACAGAAGTGCACATAAAGCTTTTCCTCCCTGAGCCACAGCTGCAGAAATCAGATTATGTGGCTTAAATCACTGTCAAAGATGGAGACATATTTAATCCAAGGTTGAAAGTCAGAGCTTTGTGTCTTTATTTAATCTTCTATCATATTTTCTCAGCAGACCTGACTTTGGGGTTTTATGCACAGTAGTAATTAGCATTCACTCTTTTGAAGACTATTTTCTTTTTTTATTTTGAGAAAGAATAAGACAAGTGACTAACTAAAAAATAGGAGACACAATATTTCTCTGTCCATTTAACTGTGAATACTTTCAAAGTAGTTTTAGTATTAATTAGTATCTCCGGGCAGAAGGAGAAGCTTCCTTTGTGTAGTCTTACAGACACAGAGGATTAATATTCACTCTCTTTTAACACAAACTGAAATATTTTCACCCTGAGGGCATTTTCTTCTTTTCTATATGTGACTGATCTTCAGGCCTTTCAAGCTAATCCTTTTTGGCATGACTCGTCTGCAGCTTGCTCCAGTTGTCAGCAGCTAGCCCAGAGCTTGTGAACAGCCCATGAAAACAGGGTCTATATAAGGAGGTGATCTGAAACGCTCTTGCAGGTGCTGTGTGGATGATGACTACACATGCTATGCACATGAAGGCTTCAGTCTAACTGCTCGCAGGTGCTGCAGGCCAGTAGCTCTTAGCCCAACGCCCTTGTCCTCCATCACCTCCCTCCCTCCTCTGCGGATGGTGTCAGTGACCCAAGCAGGCAGAAAGGGCAATCGCCCCACTTATCGCCTATAAAAACAGCCTGTCCAAACACAACAAGAAAGGCACCCACCCATTTTCAATGCTGGCTTCCTATAGATAGGTGACTTCACAGTCTGAGAACCTCAAACAGAGGCTGAATCTTTTAGAAATGATCCATATCCTCATAAGGAAATGTGCCTGTTATAATTCATTGTGTGAGCCGCTCCAGGGGCGTCGGGGGATTAAGATTGCTTATCTTAACTTGAGCAGAAAGCATTGTAAGAAAATTCCTCATTCAAATATTAAGTGTTTGAGAAAGCGTTTTCTCAACACAAGGTGTTGAAAGCTGGTAGATTTTTTTTAAAGGGAGATTGCTGATACAATCTCCATGATGGCATGGGAAAGGCAGGGCTTGTGGGTGTTTAGGTTTAAGTCTTATACTGTGACAGCAGAATTTGAAAGGGAGGAAAGCAGACGTGGCAAATTACTGAACAGCTTTCAAAAGAACAAAAAAGGGCCCTTTCCCCAGAGAAAGCCCCTAAAAGTAAAAATAAATAAATAAATCTCACCTGATCTGCTGAACAATGAACGACATACACCACAATAATCATCTGGGATGGAATTCATGGGTCAAATGTCCTGCTCATGTAGAACCTCTACAGCTACTGATAACGCGGTTCTCTATCAGAATATTGATTAATATTAAAGCAAGGTTGTTGTTTTTTTTTAATATCGGTAGGAAACTGTAGCATGTTTGGAATATAGTAAAATGTATATGTATATTTATCAAAAATTCAATGTATTGTTTTGGTATTTCAGGAGATTGACTTGTTAGTCGTTAGTTGCAGCCCTACTTCTCTATATTTGCTTTTTCTCCATTCCACAGTTATGCACTATTTCCAAATCGATTAATCCGTTGATCATATTTTCAATTAATCGATTAATAATTGGATAGCCAAAGCTTCCTTAAAGAAGGTTTTTTTATTAAAAAAAACTAGGTAAAACCAAAACCTTTCCACTTGGGGAGTTCTGGATAGAGCGTATTGACAGATTTTTTTAAAAACATTTTTTTATCTTAAATAATGTTTTATGCAAAATGTTTATAGTTTTTTTTTTTTTCTTTCTTTTTATTTTTTTTTTATTTTGTTATAATTACTGCTCTCAGTGGGTTGCTCTGTCAACTAAAGTCATGATTGCAGGCATCCCCAAACTCGCTCCTCGAGGGCCACTGTCCTGCAGGTTTTAGAGATTTCCTTGCTCCAGCACAGCTGATTTTAATTGAAAGCTGATTAACAGACTTCTGCTCTACTGCATTCATGATAATCAGCTGTGCTAAGCAGGGAAACCCTTAAAACCTGCAGGACAGCGGCCCTCGAGGACCGAGTTTGGGGATGCCTGATTTAGTCTCTATAATCCAGTTAAGGATTATTCAATTACTGATTTAGTTGACAATTATTTCAATTATCGATTATTCTGATTAATTGTTTCAGCCCCATAGAGAATTTTGTTATGTTTATGAATCTTGCTGGGTTGGACTCTCTTTGGCCTCTACAGCTGACCTTATTGGTCATGCCATAGAGTCAGCATGCTGTTAGATCACTGACCTTATTGATCTGTAATCATCACAACAACGCTGCGGATTTGTTGGCTGGATGTCTGTTATGTTAATCTCCTGTTCTACCACATACTTATGTTGCTTTATTGGATGGAGATTTACTTGAGTACATTAACAGTACTGTGTCCAGAAATCAGTAGATATGACCCTGTGACTTGGAGCTTTATTCTGTTGTGAGAAAACATAAAAAGGCATTGGACTCTGTGGTCATGAAGGGATGGATAAGGTCAGCAGCTTTACTCGGGAAGGATAGGATGTTTAAATGATGCCCATATTCTTAACAGATCATCCATAAGATGTTTTTATTAATGGCTTAGTTGTAACCCTATTTAAACGCAAATATTAAAAGTTCGAGAGGCTATGTGCTTTCCTCTCGCTCCATCCCCCAGAATGCTGCTTGTTGCTTGATCCAAGTTACTGAAATTATAGAAAAATCTATCTGCTGCATTTGCTGTTGCTATTAACCAGCTGTCTGTTGCTATCTATAATAATACTGTTGTATTTACCAGCTCTACTGCAGCCTATTTTATTTTAAATTGGTGAATAAATACCCCCATTAAGACCAAGGTTCACCGGGCTTGTCAGGTTTAAAATAGTGAAAGGTTGAACACAAGAAGGTTATTAAACAATATCCCAAGCTATGAAGACCTTGATAATGTAAAAAGCACAAATGCAAACTCATCCAGACGCATCCAGTGCAACTTCTCCATGGTAACTCTGTAGAAGCTGCACTAATCCACAGGTCATCACCACTATTAGTCATCCCCTCTGCATATATGGCCTTTTATGTTGGTGCAATGGCAAGAAAGTATTCACACCCATTGAACATTTTAAATATTCAATATATTTTGGCATTTGATGAGTTTAATACATAAATATGTGTGGGAATATTTGCCTTTGCTCTGAAATGTTGAGCTTCAATTGTTCATAAAGTAATTTTCAAACTTCTTTAGTGTTTCTTTCTCATTGTTTGAAAATCTTTTATTTCCAACAGTAATTTTATTCCACCTATTGTCTATTTCAGACATCGACGAATGCGAGACGAACTCCCATCACTGCAACCCCACGCAGGTCTGCATCAACACAGCCGGTGGTTACACCTGCTCCTGCACAGAAGGCTACTGGCTCCTAGCCGGACAGTGTCAGGGTGAGAGAACTGCTTTTGCTGATTTATTTGAATAAAAAAAGAAAACATTGCTCAAACTACAGTTGTTGGAGTTTAGGTCAAATATTCCCCTCTTGATGTGCTTTAAAAGGAATAAAACCAAGTATTTGAACATTCAGCAAAAAACATCAGTGTTGTCAGATAACAGGGATGCCCAGATGTTATGGGCAACATGCATGCATATCCATTCAGTATGCACCCAGTTAGTTTTCATGATTCTCTATTTATTTTAATCACATCTGAATAAACTTCTTACCCAGAAAGTATTATTGGCGTCAGTGTTCTTGTAGGGGAGCAGCGCCATCTGCCTGTCATGTGAATCAAAGCAGCTGCATATTTAAGCTGAAGATGTTTAATTTTCTGTAACCAGATTTCCTCTCTCCTTGGAAACAGATATTGATGAATGCCGTTACGGTTACTGCCAACAACTGTGCGCCAACGTCCCCGGCTCTTACTCCTGTTCATGCAATCCCGGCTTCCTCCTGAACTCGGACGGTCGGACCTGTCAGGGTAGGTGAATTTAGACAGTCAGAGCAAAGAAGTTGATTTACAAACTTGTAAAGCTTGTATTATTATTTTTATTTATTTCTTTTGGAGGATCCTGAAGTATACTTCAATCAGAACACAGAATCCAAGCATTTTGAACACATGTTGTATTTGTATCTTGAAACTCACATTAAAAGGCAAAATGTGTCTCTGAAGTCAAGATAGATATGTTAAAAGATTGGAAACAAAAACTTGCAGTCTTCTTTATATCTATTTGATAAAATCTTTCAGATTTAAATCACATTTTGCTTAGGCCTGTCACCCAATAACTTATTCTAAGAATTTTTCTGATTAGAGAAAAGACCAACAAATCACCGCCTATCAGTCAAACAGGATGTCCAAGTAGAAGCAAACCTTTCCTTCTCACAGAAATAACAATTAATGTGTTTCTTAACAAAACTAAAGAATTGGGCAATATGTAGAAGTGAGATTCATTCCCACTTTCAACATTGATCATATATTTTTTCAAGTGGTAAAGATGGACGCCCATATTCAATGCGCATTTTCAGTGGTTATTATGGATGGTAGGTGCACTGTGTAACTGTAAAGTAAGAGAAGGAGTGAGATAAATCTGTGATGATCGTAACCAAACTATTAATCCCACTTTTTTTAATAATACTATTATAATACATCTTTTCCTTTTTTTCCCCCCTTCTTTTCCCTCAATTTTTATTGAGGTTCATAACTGTATATTTTTTTAATGCATTTTTAAAACCACAAAATAACTACAGCTTATTTATTTAAACATTCATCTCCCCAGGATGAATTGGGTCAGTATTGCTATTCATAGACCATTTAGTGCAATACAGGTTTAGGAGATTATTAGACAGGTGATAACAAACATCTGATAAGTTGTTTAGTACTAGAGCTGCTTTATTTATGATCTTATTGTTAGCTTTTTAATTATTCCGTATTCAGGGTCAGTAAACCAGGGTTGACTTGCAGAGCTTTGTTTCATCAGTGGTATCTCTCTTGGCTCAGATTGTGGAACTCGGTCGTATGATTATTTCAGTGCTTTAATATTCTTTCTTTCCCCTTTGTTCTTTAGATGTGGACGAATGTGAAGAAGAGCCTTGCTCCCACGGCTGTTTCAACACCTACGGCTCTTTTATGTGCAACTGTGATGAAGGATTCGAGCTCGCATCTGACGGCACAACCTGTATTGGTAAAGATATTTACTATTTAAAGAGTGAAACATTTAAATTCTGCTCAGTTTATATTATATTATAATTCCCAGTTAGCTCTGTCTTATTTTTTTTTTTTTTTTACAATAAACAAACACTATTTCAATCTGATTTTTCACATTGAAATAGGGACAGCTCATGTAATTTGGGTGTTTTTATGTTTTAAACCTTAGCTCCATCTTTATGTTCAGCATGGTGTCCTGGGAAAGCCTGATCTCTGCTCTAGTTTCTAGTCTTTTTTTGGGTAAAGCACATTAGTTTTTCCATTATACAAAGCATTGGGCATTAAAGCTTGTTGCATACTCCATAAGAATCGAACATTTATTCTTCTTGAGGTGGCAAGAACAAGAAGAGAGTTTGTTTTTCTTTAGGTTATTAACTTTGCTTGAAGCTCATTTATTTTCACATTCCCTGAAGCTTACATCACAGCTGTAAAAGAAAACACAACAGACACAGAATGGAAGAGGAGAAATTATTATACAAATGTCCCCAAACTTCCAGCTGATCCTCACACTATCCGTTACATAACAGATCCCTTTAAGGAAGGAATTTTGGACCAATTACACAACTGTTGTCAGAAATTCTGCTAGAAAAGGGTTTTGCCCAAAAATAAAATGATGGTGCTTTTCTTCTAGTGGCTGTCATAGCAAATAAAAAAACACGTCTTGCTGAGTGAATAACAACCTTTATTGGCGACACATAAAACAACTGAGTCGCTGAGTGGCTGATTAGGGGAATCCTTGTTGACGCGCTCAAAAGTTCAGTCCAAGATGCAGTTTAGATCCTTTTATTTTATTGATCTTCAAAACATGCACTGCAGCGTTCAAGAAAAAAAATTAATAAATCCACAGGTTTGAGCCGTGATCAAGCGCACAAGAGAACAAAAAAACATCCAAAGCTTAAATCGGTAAGCAAAAAATAGTCATCCCCCATCACCCACTCACTTAAACTCACCAAGTGAGCAAAACAGGTGATCTTACAAATCACTGCTGACACCACATGATCAAAACTATGCCTATCCACCACAAGCTTAATGCTGCTAGGTAAGGAGACTTAAAAATGTCTGTTTGCAAAACTGACAAAGCATGTTTTCTTCCTTTCACTTATCCACCAAGGCCAGATTGTATTGATTACAATGTAAAAAATAAAACAATTTTCTAATCCCAGAGGCAATATTATTTGGTTTTGTTACATGTAATGAGAGTAATGCATCAATGTTGTCACTTTAGCCCTTTATGTAGCAGGATAAGGCTTAAATTGAGTCTGCACAGAAGGAAAGAGAGGTTTGCAGCTAGACTGCTGTGTGCTAGAAATCAGCACTTTTCCTCACAACAGAAAAGTCCTGTTGTGATGTTTTCTAGACAAGAGAGGATTAAATGTCAGGAATGAAACCCTGGAGCCAAACCTGTCAATGCTTTGGGTTACTACAAAGAAAAAAAATGTCTCTCTAGGCTGTTTCCATGATTTATACACTTCTCCCAGCGCCTGAGGCCTTCACAGGAAGGCTGGATTTATATTATATGCAGATGGACCCTGTCTACTAATCAGGTGATTGTTGAATATAACCGAAAAAAAATATTGATGAAGTTGAACCAAAACAAAAAGATCTAAGATTCTTAGGGATGCTTCAAAGCTGCCGCCTCCAGAGCCCTTTGTGTGAGATGAGTTTTCAAATTAGTTTGAATTATATCTTTTTTTCTTTTAGACCTGGATGAGTGCAGTTTTTCTGAGTTTCTGTGCCAGTACAGATGTGTAAACACCCCCGGCTCTTTCTCCTGCATCTGTCCACCTGGATATTATTTATATGAGGACAGCAGGAGCTGTGAAGGTGAAGTTTGCCGCAAACTAATCGCTCTAATGCTTCTTGTAATTTCGTGTCCCGTGGAAGTTTTACTTACTTTTATTGTTGTGTTCTTGTTTTCAAAGACGTCAACGAATGTGAGAGTGGTACCAACAACTGCACGACAGAACAAGAACAAGTGTGTTTCAATTTCCAGGGAGGCTTTACATGCCTGGATCCTTTACAGTGTCCGCCTCCTTACATCACTGTCAGTGATGAGTGAGTTATTCCATCATTACTCAGTTTGAAAGTTTTAAACTGCTTTGTTTTTGTAGAACTTTTTGTTCTATTTAAATTTTTTTCCCTCTTTCTGCTCTTTTGCCCTGTCATCTGCAGTCAGTGCATGTGTTCAGCTGAGAACCCTGCCTGCAGAGGCTTGGCGTTCACCATTCTGTACCGACACATGGATCTGTCGTCGGGGCGCACTGTCCCTGCGGACATCTTCCAGATGCAGGCCACCACGCGTTACCCCGGTGCCTTCTACATCTTTCAGATAAAGTCGGGCAACACTGGACGAGAGTTTTACATGAGGGTAAGCACTCAGGGTCCATTAATATAAATCATGATGAGGAAAAGGCTGTCAGAATCAGCTGGCCTGCATTAAAGGCAGGAAAGAAGTTTCTATGATGGAAGATATGTCCAACGGCTGTTTGTGTATTTTTTTTATTGTACGCATGCATCAGTGCCCCCTTCGCAAAAGTTCTCTACGCTGGAAACACCTTCACCAGTAATTCTGTATTTCACCTAGAAAGGCAGCAAAGTGCCAGGTTGCACCCAGTCAACAGGAAATCTCCATAAGTAGAGGTGTCTGCCAGAGTTATCCCTGCAAGTTTTATTTTGACTGTACATGTTTCATAATTTAAAAAAATTAAGTTCTTACTACAGAATTAAACATAATTTACCTGTCCAGCAGAAGTTTTGCAACCAAAGCATCCCTTTTCAGACCCTTTTGCTCCTTTAGGGCACGCCATCTCTCTAAAGAATCTCCTAAACGCACACTTAGCCGGTGTTCTGTCAGACCAGCAGACCCACAGTCAATAGGCAATAGCAAGATGTCCAATTTGCATATGCTTATACTACTCCCGTTTATCCATTTAGTTTTGTATGAAAAATACACTTTAAACTACCTTGACAGATGTGTATCCCTTTAGTCATGTACAAAATAACAATTTAAGGTCAGATCGCCATATGCTTCAAAAAACACTTAAAGGTAAGTAATCAAATTGTTTTTTTTTTGTACATGACTAAACGGATACACGCCAGTTGAGGTAATTTAAAGTTTGTTTTTCATACAAACTAAAGGGATAAACGGGGATTGACTATGGGTATGTTGGTCTGACAGGGTATGCGGATCTGACAGAACAGCTGCTCTGTTCTCTCCCATTTTCTCTTCTCTTTTCAACTAGATAGAAAAAAGGCTTTCTTTTCCATTCAGTAAAAGAAAAGACTAAGAATGGGATGAATGAGAATCTTGACCAGCATGCTTTTCCTGTTAGTTTTTTTTAGGATTATTTATGCTTTAATTATTATCGATTATTGATGCTCCACAAAAGAGTGAACAACTAGTAAAAAAAAACAAAAAAAAAACCTCAGCAGCAAACAAGTAGCGTACTTCTTCGAGCTTCGGTGTAATGGTGGAAAACAGCGTATGAATTACTCTTGGAGCTTATGTAAAGAACATACTGGGGGCACGTCCACAACATTTTTGATTGACAAACAAGTAGCCAATCCACTTTCGACAGCAGGCAGTCGAGGAGTTTATTGATTTAAATTTTCTTTGGATTTAAATTTTCTTTGAGTTTAAATTTTCTTTGGGTTTAAATTTTCTTTGGGTTTTCTTTCCAAGAATGCCATCCATCAATTAAGTCATTTTAAACCAATCTGGACACCTAATTTCTGAAAAAAAAAAAAAAATCCTCTTTCATACCTTTATGAAGGAAAAGAAAACACAAACGATGTGAACATAAAGTTAGAAGAAATTTGCAGGCAAAGCTGTTTTAACTACTGAAAGGTGTGAAAATGCAAATGACAGCTTAGTGGTGTAGGGTGAATCCAAAATACTGCTATTAATTTACTTGTCTTGTATAAGTGAAGGTGCTCTGCATCAAAATGGATCTTAAAGATGCTAAAACTAATCTATCAAAAAGAACTGTGGTTTTATCTTGATTAATCAAAATCGTTTGTCCTTATATCCAGTGATCACTGGGCTGCAGCCAGGGTACACAAAGTACAATATAAGATATAATAGAATAGAAAATCCATTTATTGTTCCACAATGGGGAAATTGTGATGTTAGAGCAGCAGCAAAAGGTTATAGCAAAAGTGGTCACACAACATGGATCTTAAATTAACAGAATCGGTGACAGAGTTAGGAAAATAACATACTGTCTTTTTACAATATAAATACTATGTTTCTTAAGAATAAATAATCAGTAAAAAACTGTGGATGTTTTTACAGTAATGGATATTACTATAAATCTAAAAAAAAAGCAGTAATAGCAGGAAATTTGCTGCTTAAAAAAGTAGCTAAACTTGGCCATTGATTTAAGAAAATTTAACCATACAAGAGGAAGAAGTAATAGCAAAATCTACAGCTCAAATGTGAGTCGATATTGTGACTGGTATCACGATTGTATCCAAGATACTCTAACCATAGGATTAAAAGCACTTTTATGTTAGCCAGATCTGCCTGCAGTTCTCTACAGTATCAAATGATCAATTGCAACAAAAGCCACAATATCAGTGGCTGTTACAAGGGGGCCAAAGTGGGGAGAGTGTTCTTTTTTTTTATTGACGCAAAGAGCAAAAGATAAAACAAAAACATTTAACACTTTAAAAGTGCCAAAAAGCCCCTCATGGCTGTAGAGACCCTGATCTAGTAGCTGATACTGAAATTGCAGTACCTTATTTTTTTTATTTTATTTAACAAATTTAAGAATTATCTTAATGTTTGTGCTTCATATGTTGTGCATGAAGTGTGGTAAATTCTATACGATCTAAAAATGGCTTAATTTAAACACCCTCATTAATTTGGTTCAGCCACTTTGAAGTAAAGAAGTTGCTGCTGCTGCTATTTTCTGAAGGAAAAAGGTTGAAGAAAGCAGACCTGGATTAAATAAAACAGTCCAAAAACATTTTATACTAACAGAAGACGTATAGACGTAAAAAGCATGATTAGTTTAATTCCACTCATAGACAACACTCAGGGTATCCTTGGTAGTCTGACTGCTGGATGATTGTTAGAGCTACACTTTATTGACCCTTGAATATTTTAGGTTTCATAGTCATTGGAGAAAAAATGTTTCCAGAAAAAAAAAAAAAAGGTTTTTGTGGCTGAAAACAAATCTGTTCTCCCTAACTGTTTACCTCAATTTTACCCACATTATTCTGTTTTACCAATAAGACACTGGCTAAACTCTTTCTATCTGCTTCTATCCATCTTTAATATGATTTACGTTTGAAATTTAACACTGATAAAACAATGAAATGGTATAACAAGATCATAGCTTAACCTCTCCATAGTTGTGCTTTAATCTGTGCTTCCAGCACCTAAGTGATGCTTGCAGCTTGTCACCAGTAGATGGAGGAATAAGCACTAAGCTTTCCCCTCTCTTGGACCTTCTCCTTGTTTTGTAGTTTGCAGAACTTGATAACGAAAAAATACTCCTTATATAACAATAACTAGGTTTGACAAAAACCTTAATTGTGCCTAAAGTTAAAGCTGAATTAAAAAGATTCATGCATTTAAAGATGTTTTTGTTGATAAAATATCTGAATAGCTGTTTTTTGTATTTGGTCTCCCTCAAATTGACATTTTATGATAAACTGTCCGTTCATAGCACTTTTTCAAGTGAGACTTGACTAAAGTCAGTAAGGTAGAAAAGCTACCTGAGACTCACTGACAGAAGAGAGGCTGCTTTACCCAGCCACCCTCTGACCATCAGTGTTTTTCCCAAGGAAAGACAATTAAAAACTGGAGCTGGGTCCAGAACCAACAACCCTCCAATTGCAGAGCAAACTCCTGCATCCGACACCACTGTCACCCAATGTTTATGAAATTTTTGGTGTTTCTGTGAAATGCCTTCATGAGATTTGGACATCTAGCACTGATTTTTCTTCTCCCTATTCTCCTTACTTTTAAGACTTGCTACAAATCTTCAGTTGGATTTCCATCTAAAGATTCACTATTCTAAGATGTGAAATCTTTGACTTAGCTTTTCCATTATAGCTGTGGCTGTACTTAAAGCGTTGTTGTTCTAAAATGAGGTAAATCTGCACCTCAGTCTCATATTGTTTCTCTCAGGACTTTTCAGGCTTTTTTTTCCTTTTTGCTTTTTTTTTTAACATTTTAGTTTTCTAGCAGATCCTCAAAGCTTTACATGTTGTTTCATTGCACATCACTACTAAAAACCTTTATATATCATTACTCCTACCTCAGGGGTTTGCAATTTGTGGCTCTGCAGACACTCAAAATGATGAAGAGCCAGTGAATTCTTTAAAATGATGTAATTTATTTGCATTAAATTTCCAAAAATAAACTGACTCTAAATACAACAGAAATGTATTTCTTTATCTTTTATAAGCAGGTAAAATGCAGTTTTCGATTTGATAGATAATTCTTGGCGGATTTCAGCAACCCATTTAAATATACAGTATTTATTCTGTTTTTACAATTTTTTCCCTTCCTTTTGAAACCAACATTTTTAAATGGCACATTGGTTATTTAAGAAGGGCAAATCTCCTGTGGAAGATATTTATTAAATATAAGTTATATAAAAAAAAAATACAGTCATGTTATGTTTGCGGCTTCAAACAAGTTTTATTAGCTGGACTCAAAGTCAAAGAATGGCTTTTTGGACTGTAAAGGTTACAAATCCTATTAAATGTAAAGTGCAAACCATGTTATGTACTGTAATATGTAAACCAAAGTTGCCTGACTTTGGATTCCCGTTCACCATTCCTAACATTCCTCCTCTCTTTGTCACTCATTATTTTCCTCTTTCAGCAAACCAGTAATGTGAGCGCCACCCTCGTCCTGACGCGACCGATTAAAGGGCCCAAGAAGGTGGTGCTTGACTTGGAGATGGTCACGGTCAACAACGTCATCAACTTCCGAGGCAGCTCCATCATCAGGCTGATTATATTCGTGTCTGAGCACCCCTTCTGAGAGTCCCGCAGGAAGCCCAGCTGCACAGGACAGTCGTGCATCACATGCAGCTGCAGCTGCGCTCACATGTAGCTTATGTAAATCTTTTGTTTGAGAATACTCTTTTGTTATGTTACCACCATGCCAGTCAAAACACTTGGGAAATGGACGAGATCAGCTGATGAGACGGCATTCCTTTGCTGAGATGACCTCAGGTTTCCTGGAAGCTGAGCTTTTATGGCTCTGGGCAAAGAGGAATATTTATAGTCTACGATTTCATACATCCTCGTCTCAGATTACTAATTGAGTATTGGTGTTTCTGCTTGAGCATCCATTCTCTTCTCATTTAAGCTGTGAAAGTGTCCGCAAATGCCGTCACTTTATTGTGAGGGCAGCTCTATCATTACTAAAGACAAAAAAAGCAGGTTATCGGAACAAGATGATTAAGCTGCCCTTGTTTTTCCGGCCAAGGAAACAAAAAGTGTTTCAGATTATGTATCAAGCATAGAATATAGGTCACAGATTATTTTTAGAGGAATAAATGACTTCATCACATGGACCATCTGTGCATCCTGGAGTTTCTTTTTTTCTTTAAAGGTTTCTGTAAAATATTATACATACACATCAATACTTTCTAGTTTTAAAGGTAAAAACTTTAGAATAAAATTTTATGTAAGCTAACAAATATTTCCTGTTAAGTTAAACTGTGCGGTTCTAGGCAAAGCTTAACTGACTGGAAATAGAAATTCTAACAGGGCTTCAATAAAAGTTATTAAGAGGTTATCTTTAATCTTTAATCATTTTTAGAAATGTCTCTGATTAGGTTGCAGGCCTTTTGTAAGTATCAATAGTTGGAATTTTTGGTTTGCTTTATGTAACTTAGTTTCCTGCCATGGCCACACCCCGTGAAGTATTTCTGTAAGGACTTCTTAAGGAACAAAGAAAAATCCTTAATTGAAAGCTTCTTGAAAAAAAAATAGTCACACTGACATCAGTTTGACATCACGCCAAACTGATAGATCCAAAAATCAACATCTTTGAGCTCAATGGGAACTTGCAGCTTCCCTTTAAGTTCCAACTGAATGTCCTCTGGTGGAACATTGCACATCAGACGACACCAAAATTTGGATTTTTAGGCAGAGTGAAACGAAAAATCTTCATGCCAGTCGAGGTGTGGCTTTCAACCGGAATTTTGTACTGACTGTGAAGCATGGGGGCGGTAGCATTATGCAACGGATCTGTTTTGCAGCCAATGGTGTTTATAAGCGACATCTTTAAAAATGTAAAATTTCCAAATTCTTATCAACAGCTGGTTGTTCCAGTTAAACTGAATTAAATTTAACGTATGTGATGCATCAAGGAAGATGACCTTTGAACTCTGTGCTCAAGTGGTTCTTCTGTTTCTTATTTTAGATGATGTAGCATCCAAAACCTTATGAAATTATTGCACATTTAGATAAATATTTAGTTTCCATCTCAGCCCATCTTTGGTCACACAGACACTAGACTGAAGTGTGAATTGAATCTAATGTGACCTGATGGGAAAGAAGTTGTTCAGGAGGCTGCAGCATGATTTAAACATCCTTACCACTGGTCATTAGTGTTGTGATTGCTAGCAGGCTTCGTTGAGCCTAGAGCCTTGGACTGGGCCTGATATTACCACCTATTGTAAAAGTTTAGCCTCTATTTATACTGATCTTTAAATATGTTAAGGTAAAATGGAGGATTTTATACACGTGCGGGAGCATGCCAAGCCTGTTTCTCCTCATGCACACCCTGTTTAAAAGCTTCTGTATGCATCGCTCATACAAGCTTACTTTCCAAAAGAAGATGGGCTATTTTTCCACAATGTCAGACTCACCCCCGGTAAGCGAAAATGAGGATGAGCACGTAGGACGGCCTTATGTAAACATATCACCAGAATGATTGACAATTAGGAGGACAAATTATTTTAATAATCCAACCAGAAAAAGAACATCCTCCACTATACCTTTAGGACATGTGAATATATCAGCATGTGATGAATTAGAGATGCATTCAGCATACTCTGATATTTTAAGAATTGCTAAATCGTTAGGGACAGAGAAAGCAGCGGCTTAATAGACTAATTAATTTTCTTCTCACCTGCAAAGCTGGCTCTAAGAGTAGAGCAACTAAGGGCCTGCTCAGCAGGTCTCCCACCCAGGAGTATGGAAGACTTTTACATAATACCAACATCAAAACTTCTAATTTGAAATGGTGTTTATGAAGAACTAACCTACTTTTAGATTTCACTGTAGTAAACAGCAAATAACAGAACAGGATGAATTCCTTAATGTTGGTTTTAGGTATACAGGCGCCAGTGATGTTAACAGAAAAACTGCTGTGTTCTTCTCAGATGGAGCTCTATTTCAACTGTCTTGTTTTTTCTGTGTATTCTTTTAAACATAGCCAACAAAATCTGGCTGTCCTTTATGACTCCACTGAGTTCATGTCCAAAAAGGGACACACATTCTGTGACATAATGACATTAGGTGTGTAATCGTATGTAAAGAATGAAATGTAGAGATGGTAAATGCAAGCTATTGTTTATATATATATATATATATATATATATATATATATATATATATACACTCACCGGCCACTTTATTAGGTACCCCATGCTAGTAATGGGTTGGACCCCCTTTTGCCTTCAGAACTGCCTCAATTCTTGGTGGCATAGATTCAACAAGGTGCTGGAAGCATTCCTCAGGGAGTTTGGTCCATATTGACATGATGGCATCACACAGTTGCCGCAGATTTGTCGGCTGCACATCCATGATGCGAATCTCCCATTCCACCACATCCCAAAGATGCTCTATTGGATTGAGATCTGGTGACTGTGGAGGCCATTTGAGTACAGTGAACTCATTGTCATGTTCAAGAAACCAGTCTGAGATGATTCCAGCTTTATGACATGGCGCATTATCCTGCTGAAAGTAGCCATCAGAAGTTGGGTACATTGTGGTCATAAAGGGATGGACATGGTCAGCAACAATACTCAGGTAGGCTGTGGCGTTGCAACGATGCTCAATTGGTACCAAGGGGCCCAAAGAGTGCCAAGAAAATATTAATATTCCCCACACCATGACACCACCACCACCACCAGCCTGAACCGTTGATACAAGGCAGGATGGATCCATGCTTTCATGTTTTAGATGCCAAATTCTGACCCTACCATCCGAATGTCGCAGCAGAAATGGAGACTCATCAGACCAGGCAACGTTTTTCCAATCGTCTATTGTCCAATTTCGATGAGCTTGTGCAAATTGTAGCCTCAGTTTCCTGTTCTTAGCTGAAAGGAGTGGCACCCGGTGTGGTCTTCTGCTGCTGTAGCCCATCTGCCTCAAAGTTCGACATACTGTGCGTTCAGAGATGCTCTTCTGCCCACCTTGGTTGTAACGGGTGGTTATTTGAGTCACTGTTGCCCTTCTATCAGCTCGAACCAGTCTGGCCATTCTCCTCTGACCTCTGGCATCAACAAGGCATTTCCACCCACAGAACTGCCGCTCACTGGATGTTTTTTCTTTTTCGGACCATTCTCTGTAAACCCTAGAGATGGTTGTGCGTGAAAATCCCAGTAGATCAGCAGTTTCTGAAATACTCAGATCAGCCCTTCTGGCACCAACAATCATGCCACGTTCAAAGTCACTCAAATCACCTTTCTTCCCCATACTGATGCTCGGTTTGAACTGCAGGATACTGTCTTGACCATGTCTACATGCCTAAATGCACTGAGTTGCCGCCATGTGATTGGCTGCTTAGAAATTAACTGTTAACAAGCAGTTGGACAGGTGTACCTAATAAAGTGGCCGGTGAGTGTATATATACATAAAACAATGCATATGGTTATGGCCAAGTGCTGCAAGAAAAAACGTTATTAAACGATCCTATAACATGTTTTATTTAGCTTTTTTGCATGTAAAGCCAGTGTTAAATAAGTACCCATTTGTGATGTGTGCAGCATAAACAGTGGATGGGGCCAGTAATGGTGACTATTTCCTTGACATTATGTTTTTAGGTGTGAACCTATAAAGTCAGCATTATTGACATACCATCCGAGAGGGAGGAGACAAAGAAGACAGATGTAATCACACACAGAGGGCAAACAGAGTGAGAAAATAAAAAGTAAAACAGAAAGTGCTGCTGTTCGGGGAAGGAAGTGCGTCTAGCCTCTATACGGGAATCTGAGAAACTCAGACTGAACCAGGAGGGAGGGGGCAGAGAGAGAGAGAGAGAGAGAGAGAGAGAGAGAGAGAGAGAGAGAGGAACCTGTTGGTAACACAAAATCTAACAGAGATCTGAGATTAGTGGCATTCCCCCCTCCTTGTTCCTCCCTACCTGCTGAGAGAGAAACAACTTGGAACTATTTTCAGTCAACTGATGACAGCGGTGAGTTTCTGCTTTTTACATTACCTTTTCCCAGTTAAAGTAGTGATTAGATATTTATTAAACCTTGGCAGAGTCATGTATGAAGTAGCAATCAGAAATGTTCCACTTTGGAATGAGAGGCACCTCCAGATGGGGGAAACTTATGTTAGAAGGGGGATAGAGGGTTTGAAAGTGGTGATTGAAATCTGGTGCTAAATTGGAAAATATCTAAAAAGATTAAATATGCATGAACAAATAAATTAAAAAAAGAACATCATTTTTAAAAACTCTTTTGGATGCCAAGTTAGACCACTCAATGGAAAGGGGGGGGGTGGTCTTGGTCAGCGGTTCCTAAGCATGTTAGTCTTTGACCCCAAAATGACAGTAACAGTGACTGCCATCCTCCCAAACATTCATATAGTTATTTCACTTTATGTTTATTTATCCATCAATATAGACTGAAAATATTGTATATATATTTTTCAGTTATTATTTTAAAGACATACAATTAATTAATTCATAATTTTAAATGTAACTTGGAGTAATTGATTTTACATTTTATTATCAATGAATGAGTAACATCAAAATCATGTATTTGATAAAAAAAAAAAAAACAATATATTAAAGTTACATGAACGTATTTCATGGTATATTTATTTTTCTTTAAGGGTCATTTACATTTATTTGTCATGATGTGCTTTTGCCCTCTATATACCTCAGGGATGACATCCTGATGCTTTTAGACCTTTTAGCTCTTTTTACCTCCAGCTTGGCATTTGTTGATCCAACCCACACTTTGAGAGCCCCTTGTCTATGTGATTATCAGCAGGGTTTTTTCCCGCACACTTAAACACAACTGTTTATAATCCAAAAGATCAATAGCCTCATTTAGACTTAGACAAACTTGATTGTGATTTTGTATGCACAGAGTGTATACAAAACCAAATTCTGTTGCATACAGCAGTAAAACAGTGAAATGAACAGAAAAGAAATCAATTTAAAATAATGGTGCAAAATAAATATGAAAAGTTCAGTGAGTTGCAAAATAAATATGGTGCATTAAGTTGTGTTCTATTTAAAAGGACTATAAAAGTTCAGCAAAGTTCGTAGTGCAAAATAATGTTGCAAGTGTGATGCAGAGTCCAATTCAATGGTTCAACAGTCTTGTGGTAGTCGGGAAATAGCTGTTGCAGCTTCTGCTGGACCTGCAGCGAATGCTGCGAAGCCTCTTCCTAACTGGTAGGGGTGTAAGTACCCTGATCCCTTTCAATGTACACCTTCTTTAGGAAATGCTTGCTGTACCCCAGGGGTCTAAAGGTTCTTGGTTGTAGCTAAAATGATACCAGTTTTAGAAGCTCCAGCTATTGGGGAAAAAAATCATTAAAGAGCTTTTTAACAACAGAACTCCATGAAAGAGAACCAATAAAATGTTTATAGGTCTATTTTTCAGTCATTAAGAGTTTGGAAATTATGTTTACATATTTTATACCTTTTATGTAAAAGTTTTATTTATTCTAAAAGCCAACATAAAAATAAAATTGTTTTAATACTTGCGGCTCCAATTGACTTTTATTTAGCTGGACTAGGAGCAAAAAAAGTTGCTTTGATTCTAAAAGCTGCAGAATCCTTGTCTAGCCGTAGTGCATCAGAATATAAACAGGTGATATTTTTTTATTGCGTTGTATTTATTAAGTTTCTGTGAATTGATATTCATGTCAATAAATGAGTTCTATTGATAAATAAAACCCCCTCATATCGATTACAGACTTAAAGAATCATATATTTTGGCAGACTTTGAGGTAATGGCAAATGTCGTATTGTTTTCAAAACAAATTGATATGATATCATAGCACAATAAAGCTCATTATTACACCCATATTAATTAGAGGAAGTAAGAAGATTTAAATCAAGAATCTCATGTGTATCTACATGGTTTTTGAAAAAGAAAAGGTGCAATATTTATTTACATTGCCATGTGACTGATTCCAGGTTTTGAACATTTGGTGGATCCCCAGCATTATTTTGATTTCCCTGCATGCCTGACCAGAGGCTTAGTACCTCCTGCTTGTCCTTGGATTTTTTGTGCCTTAATCAATATAGATGGAGTAGAAATATAGCATGTTGATATGTGCAAAACAATGTTTTTGTGCTGTATTTCAAATCCCTGTGTTTACTTTCTAATCTGTCACCTCCATGTTTGAATTCATTTTTCTTCTAGACCCAATTGCTATCATGGAGTTTTTAAAAAACTGTTGCAAGAACCTCTCTAAGAGGAACACGAATGAACAGGAGACTCAAGGTAAGGTAATGGCCAGAAAAACAGCAGATCCACCATCTTTTTTTTTACCTGGTTTCACATCTGACTGGTTTGTTTTTATGTTTCCAAGTGATCAAAATGAAGGTGGCTCCAAAGGAGTTAACAGCCACGGGAGAACTGCTGAATGACAGCAATAAGAACCAGTTAACCCAAGATTACCTTATATCCAAGCAGCCTCCTGGTGGCAAAGAGGTCCCGTTTGTCGTGCCTACCTTCAAGGCCACTTACGTTCAACCCCCAAACCGCAAGTTCTCCAATCAACAGCCAGGACTGCAGAGTATGTTGGCCTGTTTGTATTAGTCATTTGAGGTGCTGAAGGATTTATTGTATGCAGACAGTGTAATGTGAGAGGATGATGACTCAAAGCTGTTTGCTGACTCGTTCAATCAGTGAGTTACAGCAACGTTGATGCTTCAGTACCCACAAATTAAACTGAGCTGTTGTTTGCTGCTTTGTATCTTTGGAAAGGGATAAACCAAAAGTGTCACTTTAAGGCAGTGATGTGTTGTCATTTTAGTGTCCAAATATATAGAGAGCCCTTTCTTAAATTTATCTAGCTAAGCTGGAAAGGAATATGGACAGCTTCTAACCAGAGAAGTCCAGTTCAGAATTACAAAATGTATTTCCAATCAACATTTTGTTGTGAATTTTTGACCTGTAAATACCATCCATCCATCCATCCATTATCTTACACGCTTGTCCCAATTGGGGTTGCGAGGGGTGCTGGTGCCTATCTCCAGCCCTGTAAATACCAGTTATGGTTATTTCGGCAACTTGTTACGAAACAGAACTAAAAAAGCAATATCAAGATAATTTTCTCATTTATATTTTTGATTTCTGCTGTTTCTTAAATAAAAAAAAAATCTCAAAGAGTCCTTATATTAGCAGGTAGCTAAGTTAGCTCAGATGGTGCAGCTGAAAGACCAGTTTCTGTGTGTGTGTGTTGTGAACTCTGCAGTTCATTTCTCTAGCAAACTTGTAGAAGGCTGCCAATTTTTTTCACACCCAACTTGTTTCATGACAGAGCCTTCCTGTTATCAGCAGGAAATCTCCCTCTTTTTGTCTGAGCTAGTTTCACAGTTGTAGATTATCTATCTCTTATTATCTCATTTTCTGTAAGCTACCATGTTACATAACTCTGCTTCATCTTACTTTAAATGACTTACTGATGTCCATAATAGCTAATTTAGTCTTTTCTCTAAGCAACATCTACACCTAAAATATTTTTTGTTGAAATATGTTGGAACCTACCTATAGTGCATTAAATAATTGGGGGGAAAAAAGTTTTTTTTTTGACAAACCAGTAGCTCTTTGCTTCTCTAATTTTTATTGAGTTTTTTTTCTTTTTAATTTAAAAGTATGCCTAAATCATAAAGGTCTTTTCCAGAGATTTTGAAGATCCCAGCTTAAATATGTACGCTTTGCTAATGACAAAAAACATCTTTTTGCATTTCTGCTTTGTACGGAGCCCCTCATTTTAGAACTTCAAATTTGGTTGCCAAGTTCCAGTAAAGCTTATAGTGAATTTCCTGCTGTAGGAGCACAATAAACTCCACTTTGCTCAGCAGTTTTATTTTTCTTCACTCTAACATCTCTGTTATCGTTCTATGTAAACTTTTTGCAGGTTCAGCCAGGTCAACTTTTACAGCGAGGAAAGCAGACCTGTTGGGCACCAGTTTCTTCCCTTACAACTCGGAGTCCATCTTTCATCAGGGAAACATGCTGGCATACATTTCCCCCGGTTCGACCCGAAGACAACAGCAAAGAAACCTCCCCCAGAGCACAGGTACCTGCCTCCTTTGGTCCAAGCCGCTGAAACTTGATTTCTGCCTCTAAGGTTTTAAAGACAGTCGTGAAACAAAGCACATACGTCTGTGCGATTTTGTAGCATCAAACCTATATAAAATGTTTGACTTTTTAAAATTTTATTATTACTATATCTTGCACCTCTATCTGTCTATCTCATAAAAAAACATAAATGCAAAGTATGACAGAGAAACATATTTTAATCAATAATGCAGCTATCCAATGATTCTGTTTGATATTTCTTTCCAAAATGTAAAATTTACATTTTATATAACACAATTTTTTTTTACTTTATCACTGTGGCACAAATATAATAATAATATAGTTTAATGGTTTTATTTTCCAGGTCAGATCAACCAGCAGAGACGAAGCAGCTCCACTCTTGATCTGAATGCCCCTCAGGGTCGAACTCAGGTGAGACTGTTAAAAAACATACAAAAAGCAAAAAAGAAAACAAACAACTAATCTCTTTTCACACCATGTTTTTCCGACAGACATAGTGAGACTAAATATAGCCACAAAGTTTGCACAGTTTCTCAGGAATATAGTTAATCATTGTAAGCATGCCATCATGTGACCAGGGGTATTTTAGTTGTAAAACCTGAAACTTAACAGCATTGCATGCCGTTGAATTTGTAATACATTATAAATATGAAAGGAAAATATTCCATTATTATATAAAATGAGAAAATACAAGTTATGCATCCGGATAGACCAATTAAAATTAATTTATTGGTGTTGAGACTTTTTCTGTGGTATTTGGCTCTACTAACAAAGTAGAACTCATGTGTCCAATTTATTTTCAAGAGTTCTTTAATTTGTGTGTGAAAATGCTCCCCTTAAAAACAGTAAAATAATCCATTTGCCTTGACCGTCTGAAATGTCTTGATCGGATTATTCCATCATGTATAGTTCACCTGTTTTGGGTGTGGGAGGCAAACCTAATCTGAGTCTTTCCCTTCCCTGTAACCTGTATCAGTTAGCATCAACAGCGCAGCATGTCTACATTAGTCTAGTGTTTTGATGACTGTGCTTTCTTGTTTGCTTAAAACTGTTTTAAAGTCTCACATCATCCTGTTTTTGCTCTCCGATGCAGCGGATTGACTCCCTGTGCAGCACCATCAGCAGCACCTCCATGGAAAGGAGTCTGGGTAACTATGTTGTCTGGATTGGGCTTTGTTTTTAAGCTTAATAACCTGAGAATTTAACCTTATTCCATCCACCACTCCAACACAATACATCTGAACTGCTTCTGTATTAAAGTCTACAAACAGAATTAAATTTTTATTTTAACGAAACCTTCCTTATTACCTTCCAGTCATACCCCTGGACTAAAGTATTTAATATAGTAATGATTAAAACAAGTGGGCATGACCTATTTGCAAAAGTGTGAAACGTTCTATTATTTGGTTTAACTGACTTTGCTATTATTCTTATAAGTAAAGTCAGCTTGACTTTATCTGATGAATACAAACTCCCCCTTAAACTTTTGTCACTATTTTACTGCCTACAGGCTCCTCTAAAAACAGATCCCTAGGTTTAGTTTGGCACTTCCACATATTTTCCTAACATATGATCTTTGGATCCATGCCTGAAATGTCTTATTTCTGACATCTAAATGCACCATTCTGACAGTGACATTCTAAATGCACCAGTTTCCCTGTTAAATCATACCAACTTCCCTGTCTCTGCTGGTGATAAGCATCCCCACAGCATGATGCGGCCAAGACCATATGCAAAAAGAATGATGTTCATGTTTCAGAATTAGATCCCTCCCACACAGCTTGTTTTAAGTGTTGGGATAAAGTTCATTTTAAACTTAATTGACACATTACCTTCTGAAAATACACACCCCTATGTACTGTCTGCTAATTAGAGGACTTTTCAAGGAGATTGTTTGCAGGTGTTAAAGAGCGCAGAATGTGTACTTTTTTAAGATCCTCATGTTTTTAATTTTTTTCCCTTTTAGTTAATGGTTTTATGTCAATTTAAAAACTGCATTTGCCCACATTCATAATGGAATGACTGTTTTTTTTTTTTCCTTCTGGTTTGCTAGAATCTATAGCTTTGTCGGGGGATGAGCAAGAACTGGGGAAGGTCTGTGTCCGGCTAAGATATCAGCAGGATGTGGAGCAGGTGTGGATCACCCTGGTTCAGGTAAGGTTACACACGGGAAGATTTCTGTGCCTCAGGACCAAAAGCTCCACTGTTCTCTCCTGCAGCTCTCCTCAATGGATCCTTTGTACCTCCACAATGAGGGTCCCTGTTTGCAGATCTCTGCACTCTATTAAGTTTGGCTTAGCCAATCTGCTGCAAAATGATGTTTTTTTTAAGGAATAGTTGAGGCTGTTGTTGATAAGAAACATCTTGATAGAAATGGTTGTGCATTTTTAATTCAACACTTGCAAAATATTCGTCAATCGTTTCACCAGCTAAAGAGCACACATCCCTAAATTAATGGGGATCAAACAGAGATGAGCGATACCTGATTCCCACCTCTGATTAGATTAGGGTTTCACGTTGCATAAGATTCTTTTCCCCAGAATGTTTGCTGTATTAAGAGCAATGTTTACTGAAATATTGTTTTCTCTTATTTTGATCAGTGTTCAGACCTCTGCGTTCGTCCAG